GAAACACTACTCAAACACGAAATATTGTAACTCTAGTCTTTTCCGACTAATTCTTCGGTGCAATCTCGGAGTGAATCGAGGATTTATTTGAACCAATTAACATTTACAATTCCAGATAAATCCTCTTTAGGCTTCCGGTGAGGTTTATTTACGAATCCCTTCTATTTGCCTTTTCAGACAAACGGAAAGATACGTTGGTACCAATCTTTTAAGGCATTCTTACAAAGCCACTAGACACTCCACGACTCTAGCGCCACCCAATTACCGAGTAGACCTGAGCTGAACTTCTCACGAGTCACATACCGTTACAAAGGGGATTTTTAATTAGGTCCACTTGTGTTTGTTATTGCAATCGACGAAGTTATTCATCGTCAAGGTGAGTTGCCGTCGAGGTTATCAGCTATTCATAATTAAAATATTAGTCAGACTAGGTCGCTCAAAGTCATTTAAGTAGTGGAATTGAATTTTACTTGGTCTTGACTCATTCATGGTTGACTGCCATTGTTATTTTAAAATATTCATAGTTCTCCAGATTAGCAATCATGCTTGAGTGAGAGCTTGGTCAGCCTAGGTTAATTGAGGCGAGTTTCTCCACAATGAAATTAGTCGAAATCCACATGACTGTCAAAAGGCTATCTCATCCAACATAAACAGCCGTTTCATTGTGGGAAAATTCAATTATGATTGTACCAAAGCTACTCATATCAAAAATAAGTAGTCATCAATTGCAATGGCAAAACGACATTTGCTTATTCATTATAACCTGTAGGCTAAGAGAGGTCAGGCTGTCCTGTGACCCACTGATACACGTGGCCGTGTAGTGAAGTGAAGTGGTATCATCGTCATAAATCAAGTCAGGATAGAATTGCCTCCTAAGGCCTATTCATCGCATTGTGGTAAAATTCGACTACCAAGAGTGACCAAGATTTTGAAGTTTTTATGCAAGGATTACTTCTAATTTTAAAGACTACTCACAAAACAAATAATTTCACAAACATGCCGTCCTCTTTGACACTTGGGATTGCTTCATTTTCAATGTAATCCGCTATACTACTATGAACCGAGTGAGTAGGACTTAACAAATTCGATAGATCTTGGAGTTGCTGTGCATCCTGAAGCCTGTTCAATTAATTGTGGGCAATTCAACTACCATTTCTTAGGCGAGTCGACTGATGGTTTCCAGACCATTTTATCATGCATTTTGGGAGTGACCAACTGAGTGGTTTGGATACGAGCAAAATCTCCGTCTTGAGTGCGAACTGTGTAGGCCTTTTGAGCAGCGATTCGTTGCTTTTTGATGAATGTCCCTTCATCTGTCCTCGCTGTAGCGAATTGCCCATTTTGCCTCGCTCAGGAGTGGCCATCTGCCTCGGTCAGATCGCTTTCGAGCTGGCGGCTGCCTACCAGCATCGTTTTGCTGCGGTGCACCGAGAAGCCGGCTACTTGATGGTCTGGACGGCCGGACTACTCGCCTGGTCCGCGGGTCTGGCGCTCCACATGGACAGCCTCGTGAGGCCCGGAGCCGTCGGGCCTAGCGCCGACGGATGCGAGGAAAAGGGTGGAGGAGGCGATCGGCCCGGAAACCGGCAAGAGTGGCCAACTGGAGAGTGGCCGAGTGAAGCGACAGACGGTTGTCCACCTGACGACACACTTTGACATGTTGCAAAATAAATTGACTTCACATCGAATGTCTGTGAACTTGACAGAAATAAATATCGTAAATGATGTATGCATGTAGGCAAACGACTTCTTCCCTTGAAAATGCCAACTTTCTGTAGGGATTTGATAAAATTCTAGTCAAATCATCACTGACACCGTCTAATGGCCACTTGGAGATGTAGTTAATAGTTAGGATTTAGAGGGTTTTCTGGCCATCCTATCGATTCCACTATTGCTATGGTTATTGCTGGCGCAAAAGGTGTCAAGAAAAGAAGTGGCATTTGTGTG